AATTATGCATATAATTATGTATATATGTATCAAAAGACAGGAAATATTTACAGCAGCATTATTTATGGTAGCCAAGAACTTCACAACCTAAATGTCCCTCAATAATGGGCATAATGAAGAAACTATAGAAATATTCATATGTTGTAATGCTACATAGCAATGAAAAGTGAATGCTGCTACCAGTACCAGTATAAATAAACCTCATCAACTTAATATCAGGGGAAAAGTGAATATGCATTTGTGCCTATTCATTTTATTTATGCAGCATTTATATAGAGGCAAAACTACCACCTTTGGGGTAATTAGGAAGGAGCATAAGTAGGGGTTTCTGGGGTCAGTTAATGTTGTATTTCCTGTTTGCGGGATATTTACATGGGAATATTCATTTTTGTAAATTCATGCTATGTGCTTATGAATTGTGTACTTTTTTGTGTATATATTATAGACAATAAAAGAGCTTAATTAAAAATAGACACCATTTCTTTGCCATCTTAGAGCTTTTATTTCAGTAGGTAGCAGATATTAAACATATGCATATAAAAATGCATATATGGCTATGAATTATGAACATTTAGGAAGGCAAAGAAAAAGGTGCTATGAGATCAAGTTACTGAGGGAGATCTGCTTTTATATTGGACTAGAGGCCCAGTGCACAAATTTGTGCATGGGTGGGGTCCCTCGGCCTTGCCGGGAATCAGGGCCAACTGGGGCCAGCTGGCTGGGTGAGGGCGGGTGGCAGCGGAGGTTGGCCAGCCACGGGAGGTTGGCTGTGGGAGTGCACTGATCACCAGGTGGTAGCTCCTGCATCGAGCATCTGCCCCCCGGTGGTCAATGCGCATCATAGCAACCGGTCGTTCAGTTGACCTGTCATAACAGTCACTTAGGCTTTTATATATACTAGAGGCCCGGTGCACGAAATTCATGCACTGGGGGGTGGAGGTCCCTCAGCCCAGCCTGCCCCTCTCACAGTCTGGGAGCCCTCAGTAGATGTCCTACTGACAGCCACAGTCTGGCAGCAGAGGCTTGGAGCAGGCCCCCATGTATGTGTGTGTGTGTCTGTCTGCTGGGGGCCTGCCCCCAGCCACACTGTGGAGGCTTGGAGCAGGCGCCCCTCTGTGTTAATCTCTCAGGCTCCTGGCCTCGCCTTCTTGTTGTTCTCTCCCTTGAGCTGTGGCCAGGGTGGGGTGCTGCCTGCAGGCTGCGCTTGCCTGCTTGCAGATCGCCACAGTGACCCGCAAGCAGGCCCTGCTGGGGGCTGCCTGCTGGGGGCTGCTGCGGGCAGTGCTTTCCTGCTCGCGATCACCATGGCGACCCAGGAGCAGGCCCTGCTGAGGGTTGCCTGCGGGCCGCGCTTTCCTGCTCATGGATCACCACGGCGACCCGCAAGCAGGCCCTGCTGGGGGCTGCCTGTGGGCCTCGCTTTCCTGCTCACGGATCACCGTGGCTACCCAGGAGCAGGCCCTGCTGGGTGCTGCCTGCAGGCCGCACTTTTCTGCTCATGGCTCACCACAGGGACCTGGGAGCAGGCCCTGCTGGGGGCTGCCTGCTCAAGGATCACCACAGCGACCCGGGAGCAGGCCCTGCTGGGTGCTGCCTGCGGGCCGCGCTTTCCTGCTCGACGGCCGCGGGAACTGCTCATGGGTCTCCAAGGCAATGCCTGCTGGGCTCACGTTGCCAGGGTGACTCTGCCAGCATCCTGCCCTGCTGCTATGGGCGCCGCCATCTTTGTCTCGGAGTACGGTTAATTTGCATATTACTCTTTTATTAGATAGGCTAGACTAGAGGCCTGGTGCATGGAAGTTAATCTCTTCCTGCCCTCCCCCCTCCCCCTTCCCTCTGAGATTCATCAGTCTGTTCCATGTTTCCATGCCTGTGCGTTGAGCGTCTGTCCCCTGGTGGTCAGTGTGAGTCATAGCTACCCATCGAACTGTCGCTTAAGCTTTTATATATATAGACTAGTGGCCCGGTGCACAAAATTTGTGCACGGGGAGTGTCCCTCAGCCCAGCCTGCACCCTCTCCAATCTGGGACCCCTCAGGGGATGTCCCACTGCCAGTTTAGGCCCGATCCCTGTGGGGCCTAAACCGGCAGTCGGACACCCCTCTCACAATCCTGGACCGCTGGCTCCTAACCACTCACCTGCCTGCCTGCCTGCCTGATCACCCCTAACCACTCTGCCTGCTGGCCTGCTCACCCCTAACTGCCCCTCCTGCCGGCCTGCTCGCCCCTAACTGCCCTCACCTGCCGGCCTGATCTCCCCCAACTGCCCTCCCCTGCCAGCCTGATCATCCTAACCTCCTCTGCCTCAGCCCCACCACCATGGCTTTGTCCAGAAGGATGTCCAGAAGGTCTCCCAGAAGGCCTCCCAGTCTAATTAGCATATTAGCCCTTTATTAGTATAGATGTTTTGGCCAAGTCCCTATGAGAAAGAGTTATTTAAGCTCTGTGAGGAAAGTGGTATAAGGTAAAGTTGGAGATTAAGACATACTTGATCTTCATCCCAAGATCAGTGGGTAGTTTTTAGAAGTTATTAGCAGGCTCATTATGTGATTTGATCTAAGTTTTAAAGTAATTACTCTGTAAATCATGGATTTGAAAATGAGCCAAAGGTGAATGCAGTTGGACTGTTTAGAGGCTATTGCAATGCTCCAGGTAAGAGTGATGACATCAGTGATCTAGCCAGGTCTGCCAAGTTTTCATGTAAAAAATACCTGCTGTTTCTGTTTGGTTTTGACATTGGAGCATGACAGTGGCCATCACCAAAACATAAATAAATGAGCATGGCTGTGCTCCAGCCAGGTTTATTTATAGAAGCAGGTGGCATAGTTCACCACCCTTTGGTCTAGAGCAGTGGTTCTCAACCTTCTGGCCCTTTAAATACAGTTCCTCATGTTGTGACCCAACCATTAAATTATTTTCGTTGCTACTTCATAACTGTAATGTTGCTACTGTTATGAATCGTAATGTAAATATCTGATATGCAGGATGGTCTTAGGTGACCCCTGTGAAAGGGTCGTTTGACCGCCAAAGGGGTCGCGACCCACAGGTTGAGAACCACTGGTCTAGAGAGAAGATAACAAATGTTAGCATATATTTTGAAAGTAGATTTAACTGGATATGATTGGACATTGGAAGTGTAGATGAGAGGTTTCAACATTAATTTCTAGGGTTCTTGCTGGAGAAATTTATGGATTATAGCATTTGCTGATTAGGGAACAAGTTAGTTAAAAATCTAGGCCTAGTCACCTAAAATAGTGAGTAGTGATATGTCAGGGTTCCAGTGTTTTCCTCATCTTTGGTCTATAAGGACAATATGACGATGTTTTGTGGAGTTTTTACCACCATGACAATCATGAATAGAAATACTTACATTTTATTCTTTTATACACATACCAGAGGCCCAGTGCATGAAATTCATGCATGAGGGGGGGTCCCTTCAGCCCAGCCTGCACCTTCTCCAATCTGGGACCCCTCGGGGGATGTCCGACTGCCAGTTTAGGCCCCAGGATTGGGCCTAAACTGGCAGTTGGACATTCCTCTCAGAATCCTGGACCGCAGGCTCCTAATCGCTCACCTGCCTCCATGCCTGGCTGCCCCCAACTGCCCCATTTCTGCCTGCCTGGTCACTCCTAACTGCCCCCCCTGCCAGCCTGGTCACCCCTTACTGCCACCCCTGCTGGTCTGGTCACCCCCAACTGCTCCCCTCTGCTGGCCTGGTCGCCCCTAACTGCCCCCCGCTGCTGGCCTGGTCTCCCCCAATTCTCCCCCCTGATGGCATGGTTGCCCCCAACTGTCCCCCGTGCTGGCCTGGTCGCCCCACAAAGCCTGCTTGTTCAGTCATTTGGTCGTCCCTCACTAACACCCCTGCTGACCTGGTCATAGGCAGCCATCTTGTAAGGGTGTGAGGGTTAATTTGCATATTACCTCTTTATTATATAGGACTAGTCATTTATTATACTAAGAGTTAAAAAGTGAGAAAACAAAAAAGTAAAAGCTAATCAATTGTATTGATTAGTTCTTTTGTGTTTTCTGCTAATAGTAGGAAAGAAATAGTATATATTTGTCTAAGGCTCATGTTGTTTCCTTGACAATATATCTATAGACTCATTTTCTCCCTCCTTTCAAAAGTAACACACCCCCACCTCTATTCCTAACTGCCGTCCTTATAAGGACGAACCAGAGAATATACAGATTAAAAGACATTTTGTGCTGATTCTTATCATACATGAATGTCATTGGGGATAGAGTGGTAGCTAAATGGAGCTGCCTTCTGTTGTTTTTCATACTTCCTTTTTCTAAGAGGGTCCTTTTCAAGTAGTTGCCTTATTACCATTGTTATATCAAAATTATAACACCAATTAGAGTTTCTTTATACTTTTATGAGTTTGGGGTTTTGTATTTGATTAATTTTTTTCATTTAAATTCTTTATTGTTGAAAGTATTACATATGTCTCCTTTTTTCCCACATTGACCTCTCCCTGGCTGCTCCCACCCCCCAGCATATGCCCTCATCCCCCTACTGTCTGTGTCCATTGGTTATGCTTATATGCATGCATACAAGTCCTTTGGTTGATCTCTTACCACGCCCCCCTCCCACCCTACCCTGTCTTCCCTCTGAGGTTTCATGGTCTATTTGATGTTTCTATATCTCTATATTTTTGTTCATCAAGTTTACATTGTTCATTATATTCCACAAATGAGTGAGATCATGTGATACTTATCCTTCTCTGACTGGATTATTTCGCTTAGCATAATGCTCTCCAGGTCCATCCATGCTGTTGCAAATGGAGTTCTTTCTTTTTCACAGCAGCATAGTATTCCGTTGTGTAGATGTACCACGGGTTTTTAATCCACTCATCTGCTGATGGGCACTTAAGCTGTTTCCAGTCTTAGCTATTATAAATTGTGCTGCTATGAACATAGGGGTACATATATTCTATTCCAAGAACTCAGAAACACCAATCAGATTCACTGTTTTTTATTAACCTTTGTCATTGATAGGCTTTGCTCTCTGTGCATGACACTGTGGCTCAGAAGAAGTATGATCCAGTATTGCCTCCTATGCCCGATGATATTGATGATGAGGAAGACTCAGTAAAAATAATCCGTCTGGTCAAAAATAGAGAACCCCTGGTAAGTTTTGATCTACTTATTGTGCCCAGATATGAGTAGATATCATGATAAAGCCAAATCTGATGAGGACATTCCAAAAATTTTTCTCTTTAAAATACTTCCTCTGTGTCTTAAAACTTTCAAATAAATGGAACATTTATGTCTAAAGAATATATATGATTTAGAAAAATGAAGGCAAATGAAATGGCATTTTATTGGTTATAAGTTGCAATAATTTTAAAATGTGAATTGTTGACATTTATAAAAGAAAGCATATGCACCAGTCACAGATGATTTGAGATTAAATGGTGCAACTAAGAATAATTGCTTATGGCTTTTCTAGGAAGCTAATTTTATTTATTTATTTATTTATTTATTTATTTATTGTAATATTTTTTAAAATTGATTTCTGAGAGGAAGGGCAAGGGAGAGAAAGATAGAAACATAAATATTGAGAGAGAATCATTGATCAGCTGCCTCCCGCACACCCCCTGCTGGGTATCAAGCCCATAACCCTGGCATGTGCCCTGACTGTGAATCGAACTGTGACCTCCTGGTTCATCAGTTAACTCTCAACCACTGAGCCACACAGGCTGGGCTAATAAAAGGGTTTGAATAGGAGATTATTCTAGATTAGCTGGTGGGCTCAATCTAATCACAAGTGTTATAACTAAAGTGAAAGAAGGAGGCACAAGGGCCAGAGTAACAGAAGGAGATGTGATGATGGAAACAGAGGTTGGAGTGATGTAGCATTGAGCCACAGAATGCTAGCAGCTTCTAGCAAATGGAACAAGCAAGGACCGGATTTTATCCTACATCTGCCAAAGAAATGTAGCCCTGCTGACACTTTGATTTTAGCCCCTTAATACCCATTTTGGCCTTCCTACTTCCAAATTGTAAGATAATACATTTGTGTTGTTTAAGCCATTAAATCTGTGGTCATTTGTTATAGCAGTAATAGGAAATAAATATGCAGTGTATCCATCTACACTAATAAAAGACAAAGATGCTAATTGACCATACCTTCACTACGCCCATCAGCCAATCAGAAGAGTATGCAAATTAACCCAACAAAGATGGCCATTAAATTTGCATACTGCCGGCAGGGCCGGACAGCGCCATCAGCCGCCTGCCCTGCCGCCATCCAGCCCTCCCGTGTGCGACCAGGGGCGGCTGGACAGGACAGTAGCAGAGACAGGAGGAAGCCAGGCGGCGGAGACGGGAGGAATCGAGGCAGTGGAAAAGGGAGCAAAGCCTGCCAAGGCAGGCTTCGCTCCCATCTCCACCGCTTTGCTCCAGCCTCAGGAAGCCCTATTCTTGCAGGAATAGGCCTGAGGAAGCCCTATTCTTGCAGGAATCTTCCTGCAACGGGCCTCTAGTATATTTATAAATCTACAGTCAAAATAAAAAATAAATTTCATTATCTAGCACTTGATTTTAAATGTTGTTTATTCTAATTAAGATATTTCTATTTTCTTAAATCAGCTTTTTTGGAAGTTTTTCTTTTCTTTTTTTTTTTTTTAAATATATTTTATTGATTTTTTACAGAGAGGAAGGGAGAGGGATAGAGAGTTAGAAACATCGATGAGAGAGAAACATCGACCAGCTGCCTCCTGCACACCTCCTACTGGGGATGTGCCCGCATCCAAGGTACATGCCCTTGACCGGAATCGAACCTGGAACCTTTCAGTCCGCAGGCCAACGCTCTATCCACTGAGCCAAACCGGTTTGGCAAGATATTTCTATTTTCTTAAAGAAAATAGCAGTTGATAAGATAATAGTTGCTTAGTACTATGTTAAGTACTTTACATACATTATATTTAATTCTCATAGTTGGTATGAGGATCATAGTTTTTCTTTTTACAAACCAGGAAACTAATGTTGAGAGAAGTGAAGCAACTTACCCAAGTATAAGAGCTAATGAGTGTAGAACCAAGATCCAAACTTGACTCTCTGTTTTTAAATACTAGCTTGTTTTTTTATCCTTGTTTTTTTTTTTTTAATACTCACATCAGAATATGTTTTAATTGATTTTTAGAGAGAGGGGAAGGAAAAGAGAGAGAGAAAAATCAGTGTGAGAGAAACATCGATTGGTTGCCTCTCATAGGCACCCTGACCAGGGATCTGATCTATGACCTAGTTATGTGCCCTGATGAGGAATCGAACCCGAAACATTTTGGTATATGGGATGACACTCCTCCCAACTGAGCCACCCCACCAGGCTCTAGTTTTTTTCTTTTATACCATATTGTGTCTTTTCACTTTTCCCTTTTGGTTCTTTTTCCTCTTCTTTTTTTTTGTTTAAGGGTAACTTTAGTATATTGATAAATGCATTGGACATTCCTACTCAGAAAAATGTACAGATAAGTTTGCATATTATGTCAAGGGATTTATTGAGCCCCTGAATCTCATCCATGGATATCCTAAAGTACCATGCCTTCTGATAAAATAAGATCTTCAAAATGTTTATCAAAGAAATTCAGCATGTACTGCATCAAGATTTCACAAAAGGTTTAACTGGAGCTACTATGAGTTAGTTTATATTCATAAAAGTTGAATGACATATATAAAATAATCTAAAGCTGTGTTATCATAGTTTGTTACTAAACATTTATTTAGCTAATAAGCATGTAACAACTGAAATAATTTGACCTAACTTTGAGGTAGTGATTATGCATCTAATACCCTCTTCCATTATAGATTATATAATACAAGTTATATAAGATAGTGGCAAGAGTGACATGTTAGATTTGATAGGACCTGTGGATGCAGAGGGCAAGAGGAGAGAGGAAGTCAACAGTAGCATAGGAGGTTTTTATTTAGGTGACTAGAAGTATTATACATTCAATTGGCAAGAATAAAAGAAAATACATGGGAATATAAATGACTAATTCCCTTATGATTATACTGAGCCTATGGGGCTATGCAGGTGATAGCAAAAGGTTAGATATTTAGGAAAGGGAACCAGGGAAATTTCTTTAAAAATAGTGTTGAATTGATAAGTTATTTAAAAACTGAATATTTATCTTTAGCATGAGAATGTTTTCCAGGTTTGTAATATTTGTGTATTTGGGGGATATTATAAGCATCTCTCAAAATTATTCAGTTTCTTAGTAGTATATTATGGTATAACTAGAGGCCTGGTGCATGAATTTGTGCACCAGTGGGGTCCCTTGGCCTGGCCTGTGGGATCAGGCCAAAACTGCCTCTCTGACATCCCCTGAGGGGTCCCAGATTGTGAGAGGGCTCAGGCCAGGCCGAGGGACCCCACTGGTGCATGATCGGAGCCGGAAAGGGGCTGCGGGAGGGCTCCAGGGCATGTCTGGCCTGTCTCACTCAGTCCTGATCAGCTGGACCTCAGCAGCAAGCTAACCTACCGGTCAGAGCATCTGCCCCGTGGTGGTCAGTGCGCATCATAGCAACTGATCGACCAATCGACTGTCTTCCCCGCGGTGGTCAGTGCACATCATAGCGACTGGTCAACCAGTCGACTATCTGCCCCCGGTGGTCAGTGCATATCATAGTGAGTGGTTGAGTAGCCTTAGCATATCATTAGCATATTACGCTTTGATTGGTTGAATGGACCACCGGACTCTTAGCATATTAGGCTTTTATTATATAAGATTTGGCAAGTTTGTAATGTACTTAATAGCATTTTCCTCTCTGCTTCCCCAAAAATGGGCAAGGAGAAAGAAGCCAAAGTAAAATAAAATTCTTTCAAGTGTATGTATGCTCAGTATATTTTGGCAAATGATTCAAGAGAAAAGGCCATATGCCTTAGCAGCCAAGGGTTAGATTATCCATGTTAAGAATGTAATTTTGTTTATTCGACCCAGGTGTAATGTGGTAAAATGAATACCAAGCTTGCATTAGGTGACCTAAGTGAGTGTTATAGGGTGTCACTTATTTTCCATATATCCTTACAGCAGCAAGTTTTTTAACAACTCCGTCTCAGATTCCTTATCAGAAAGTATACCTCTTTGAGAGTGTTTTAAATATCATCTGAGATATAATGTATTTGAAATGCTTTATATGTTCTTGTGCATTATGTGTTAGATAAATGGTCCATCAAATAATAAGGTAGAGGCTAGATGACAACTATTTAAGCACAGCATGATTTTCTAGAAGGGGCAGTGAACAAAGATCATGTAGGCATTTGTAAATGGAAAGGGAAAAGGGTGCTAATTCTAGGGGAGGGATGGGTAAAAGAATTAAGAGAAGGGGTGAAAAACAACAATCAGGATATAAAGGGCAGAGCTATCCTCCCTCCCTTGTGAGTTTGGAGAGTTTATATTTGTTGTATCCAGAAGATTAATTTTTAGACAAGCTTAAGAAAATGAAATTCTATTAGTTGGTAGGTGGATTTCATCCTAAATTTTCAGCGTTTCTTGCATGGGTTGTCTTCTTGGTTCTTTTAGAATAGTGGTTCTCAAACTCTGGTATGATAAGAATTACTTGAAGCACTTACTTAAGAATGCAGACTTCTGGGCCTCTACTGCAAATGGTCTACATTAGTAGGTTTTGGGCAAGGCCTGGGAATCTAGATTTTAAAAGTTGTCTAAGAGGTTTTTGATGCAAATATTTGGTAGACCATACTTTGAAAATTCCTACTTCAAAGGATTAACTTGAAATCAACTGTGCTACCAGCTTAAAAAGGTCTTACAATATTGGCAGTGTTATAGGAGATGAAATTTTTATTCAAGGAGATCATGATAGCCTAGTCCTCTTTGCAATCCTCTTTTATAAACCATTTTATAGTAATAGCAACAAATATCTAACCAGAATTTATTCTTCTCAATTTAACCTGAAGTTCTCTATACTCATATTTTGTCAAAATCACACCAAATAAATTAAAAATAACTATATAAGAAAATATGTTTTAAAACATTAGATTCAATTTTAATTCATTTTGCATTTGCGAATATGCCTTAGGACTTTTAACTTTTGTACAGTATTATAGTCAGTGAGCTTTATTCTTATGCATGTTGCACTAAGAATACATCAAAGAATTATGATATAGC